GAGCCTTTGTATATATATAAATGAATGTACTCATAGCGTCGCTAATGAAAACGAAACTGAAAGTTTTAAAGAAAAGTTACATAATTTTTTAAATCAATTTACTCAAACTTCCTCAAATCGAGAAACTTATAATTTTTCCGACGTGCTGGTAGAAAAATTTTTAAGTATTTTGTTATGGAGTAGATAGGGGTCATTGGGCCTTATGCATAAAAAGTGAGCTTAAGCTCAGATTAAATTTTTGCACTGAAAGGGTGAGCTCAAACTCAAGAATTTGTACTGAAAATCGAGTCGGAGCTTAAGCTCCCTTTTTATGCATGAGGCCCCTTTTGGCAGTTCAGCAGCTGTTGTATGTAACAAGTTCAAGTGAAGATTAGAAGACTCCGCTTTGAATGCTTTGCTGCTCTTACGTACAAATTTTAAATGCACACAGAAAAAGTGGTGTGCGCTTTGAACCGGACACACCTATCGACATGTAGATATTTCGAGCCGGAATCCAAATCTGAGGTCCGTTTGCCTCATACACCCTCAAAATTTGCAGTAAATTACGAAAATTGCGAAAAACGGCAGAAAATATTTTTTTTTTTATTAATTTTTACTTTCAAAAGTACCTGGTTATATGTGATGCATGCGTTCCTCAATCACATTGTTTTTTTAAATACAATTTAGAACAATTATTAGTTCAAGATTTGTCTGTATTAATAAATATGTGATTTTTTAAATCAGTTTATCGTAAATTTTAAATAGTTTTATTTTAGGGTATGTTTAAAAGCTTTCAGTTATTGAATTTTTACTCATGTTCATATTAGTTATGTCTCTAGGTGAATCCCGGAATCCCGGGATTACTTAAAAAATATACCGAAAACTCGGGATCACAATTTTCCGCTAATATTGGCATCCCTAGTACTTATGTATGTATGTATGAACGAGTACTCTGCAAACCATTTTTACAGAGTATTCTGAATCGTAAAGAATTTTTAAAGAATTCGGAAAGATCCCATCCGATTTTTTGCCGAATGAAATAAATTACGCACACTTCCATTCTTTTACGAAATTTTGGAAGAAAATCGGTAAAGAAATGAAAATAATGCTGCTATGTGAAGAATTTCTTGCAGACTTTTTTCAGAATTTTCTTTATTTTTCGTACAGAAATTTCTTTACGAGTTCGTGTCAACCACTTCATATAATTTTCTTTGAAGATTCGGAAAAAAATCGTTACAGAAATCAGATACTCCTAAAGATTTCGTTAAGATTTCGGGAACTTTGGTTTGCAGGGTATGTACATACATATGTCATCTCTTTTACTTGCTTATTTTCTTATGCCAACTCTGTCAGTCGTATGTATTCATCAAATATGGCTATCACATTTAAGTTGTTTATTTTAATCGTTATAGCTTTCTGCCTAATTGGATGCGTTGTCAATTTCGCACCAAATCGGAATGTCTCAATTTACAACAATTAACCAATTTAGTTCTATTGCTAGCTCATGGTTAGATTAACCCGTGCCAATAGTAAGAGTGCTGAACGGGTTGGGTAAATCACTCAAACAAATCATTCATTATGGGAGATTGATAATTATGGTGTATGTAAATTTTGTATGCCATCGCACACGCGAAGGGCACGAGAAAGTGTAATCAGTCATTCAAATACTGCTTACAACTGGATTTTCATTCAAGAACATA